CCAGCGTGGCTAAAAGAGGAGGAGGAGGAGAAGGAGGAGGAGGAGGACCAGTGTAAACCCAAGAGTCATCAATGATGTTTGAATTTAACTCTCCCTCCAAGCTCCCTCTTCACAGACCACTGCAACGGTTCACTTCCATTGAGGGAACTGGCTTGTTGGAAGACAACCTTTTGAGGACCCTGGAGCATGCCAAAACATTGTTCTTGGGATTTCAACGCCATGGATCAACCTGGCTGCTGCGTTTTGACGATCCAGAGTCACGCCAGAACGCAATTCTTGGTATTTCAACACCGCGAAGCACCATAATTGTTGCACCCGCGTAGTACTTAATCATTCCACAACACCTTTCTGGTATGCTGATCATGAAAATCCGTGATACTCTCGCAAATATTAACAAGAATGTGCTCGGCGCTATGGCGAGAACCACATTTTGAACAGGGCCCGCCCTCAATCCGTGAAACTATTGCAACTTGTTCAAACGAATGTGCGCGGCGCGAAGGCGAGAGCCACATTTTGAAAACCACCCGCCCTCCATCTGTGAAATTGTTGCCACGAGGGTGTCTCAGGCGAAACGCCCGGCCCGCCCTAAACAATTGGCCTCGGGGTGCGGCAGGGAGAAGTTAGTGAAGAGGGAAAGGAATGGAGGAGGAGGAGGAGGAGGAGGAGGAGGAGGACTTGTGTACACGCAAGAGTCATCAACGATGTTGGAGTTAACCCCTCCTCCAAGTTCCCTCTTCATAGGCCCCTACAACGGGCCACTTCCATTGAGAGAACTGCCTCGTTGGAAGACAACCGCTTGAAGACCCTGGAGCATGCCCAAACATTGTTTTCGGGATTTCAACGCTACGGATCAACCTGACTGCTGCGTCTTGGCTATCCGGAATCATGCCAGAACGCCATTCTTGGGTTTTCAGCACCGCGTACCAACATAATTGTTGCACCCGCGTAATCCTTGATCTTTCCAAAAAGCAATTCTGGTACGCTGATCATGGGAATCCGTGCGACTCTTGCAAATGCTTGAAACGAATGCGCTCGGCGCTATGGCGAGAGCCACTTTTTGAAAACGGCCCGTCCTCAATCCGGGAATCTCTTGCAAATGTTCAATAAGGTAGTGCGCGGCGTGAAGGCGAGAGCCACATTTTGAAAACGGCCCGCCCTCAATCCGTGAAGTTTTCGCCATGTTTAGATGTGTGTGTGTATATATATATATTCTTATCTTTTTATTACCCGGGAACCCCCTCATCCCCCCCCCCCGGACCCCCCCCCTAAACCGGATCCTCCTCCAAGGGACGGCCGGGACGCCCTTTCGGACGGTTCGGGGGCCCCCTGGACGCCCTTGGAAAAGGTTCGCTGGCCTTTCCGGGCCTCCCAGGGCGCATTGACAGGCCTTGCGAGCAGCCTTGCGGCCTTCGAAAATAAGCATTTTTTGCATACCCGCTTTGTTGGCCTTTGCAGCGTCCAATTCCGGCCCGATGGGCCACCGATATCGCCCTAAGACGGCTCAAGAGGCGCCCCACATGGCTTCACGACGGCCCACGAGGGCCCCAAGACTGCCCCAGAAAGCCTCGGACTGCCCACAAAAGACCCAGACGCCCCCAAAAAGCTCCCAAGAGAGACCCAAGAAACCCACGGGAGATCCCCAGGAAGGCCTTCGGAGGCCCCCAAGAGGCCCAAAATGGCTTCCGAAGACTTCTGGAGGGACCCAGCTACCCACAACGGCCCAAGAAGGCCCCAGGACGGCCCAGGAAGGCCCCAGGACGGCCCCAGAAAACACCAAAACACCTAAATGCGGTTCTCCTGCGAAGTGCATCGAGCTCACCCGACGCTCTTCGTTCCACGCTTCAGGCTCGCGGTCCCCATTCCTAGATCGAGAGAGACAGGCAAGGGATACAGATTCGAATTTCCACGATCCAAGATTTCCTGAATGTCAGGGAGCGACCACAAATCGATTCGTTCCGACCTATTGCGAGTTCTTCGGCGTGTCATGTGAAGACTCCTGACTTCCTCAACGGATGAGCTCAACACCCCGAGGAGGCGGAAGAGGAGGTAAGGAGGACAGAATGGGTAGGGAGACCCCTTCGAATTGGCAGACCAACAGCCAAACGCAACTCCTCTCCATACCTTCCCCCATGACGGGCGGAACACACAGGAGGAGGTCAACGGGGGGAGCTAAGACATGGAACGACGATGAATAGGAAAGCATGCCTGCGCACAAGCGTGCAAGTGCATCGGACCAGGGCGGTGCCAGCAGGAGCCGGTCGCCCGTGCAGACCCTGACGTCCCTATGCTACCACAAGCGATGATGGATCGTTTTGCCAGGGAAGCGTCTGGAACAAGGCGCATGGCGCGAAGCGCCAATGCAGTCTTGGATATATATATATATATATGTGTGACCATGTGCGCGGCGCGAGAGCCACATTTTGAAAACGATTCGCCCTCAATCCATGAAGCTCCTGCAAATGTTTAGAATGAATGTGTGCGGCGCCAGAGCGAGAGCCGCATTTTGAAAACGACCCGCCCTTAATCCGCGAAGCCCGTGCAATTTTTTACAACGAAAGTGCGCGGTGCCAAGGCGAGAGCCACATTTTGAAAACCACCTGCCATGAATCCGTGAAACTTTCGCAAATCTTTGAAACGAATGTGCTCGGCGCTATGGCGAGAACCACATTTTGAAAACGACCCACTTTCCATCTGAGCTTCAGAGCCAAAGATGGTGAGAAAGTCTCAGGCGAAACGCCCGGCCCACCCTGAAAACTGGCCCCGGGGTGCGACAGGGTGAAATTGCTTATAAGGAAAAAGAATGGAGGAGGAGGAGGAGGAGGAGGGAGAGAGAGAGAGAGAGAGAGAGAGAAAAAAAAAAAAAACGAATAGACGAAGGACTCGGGGCCTCTTGGGCCTCTCTCCTGGACCTCTTGTCCCATGTCGTCAGAGGCCCTTTGGCCATGTCTGTCCCTGGGCCTCTCTTTCTCTCTTTCTCTATTTTTCTATCTTGCTGACCATCTTGGAGGTCTCGTAGGCCGTCTCGGGGCCCTTTCGGGACCGTCTTGGGGGCTTCTCGGGCCATCGCGTGCCTTTTTCAGCCATCTTGGGGCCTCTCGGGGGCCTCGTGGGCTGTCCTGGGGCCTTCTTGCATGACTCTCGGGCCGTCTTGCGCGTAAACACCGACGGAACTTCATGATTTTGGCTTCTTCGGGCCCTCCTGGAGGGCTTCCTCTTGTAGCCTTCGTGGGCCGTGTTGGGGGCCACATGGGCAGCTTCGAGGTAGTATTGGGCCTCTTTGAGGCCATCTTGAGCAGTCTTGGAGGGATCTTCGACAAACTTGCAGGCCTCGAGGGCCATCGTGGAAGCCATCTTGGGCCGTCGTAGGCCGTCCCGGAGGCAATACGGAGCCATCTTGGGGGCCTCTGGGCGGTCTTGGGACCATGTGAGAGGTCTATTGACTTGTCTTGGGTCTTTGGAAGTCCTCAGCGTCGAGAGCACTAAGAGCCTTCAAACACCAAAGGAAAGTCAATGAGTTGGGGTTTTTCGGGTCATCCTCGAGGGCATGATATTGTTTTGGGCCTCCTTGCAGTCATCTTGGGCGAACTTGAAAGTTTGTTCGACGATTTCAGCCCATATTGGAGGCCATCTTGGACCGTATGAGAGGCCATCTTGGACAATGTTGGGGTCCAATTTGGCCCTCTTCGAGCCCTCTTGGGGGCATCTTGGGATGTCAATCTTAGAGGCCTTCTGAGTCATGTCGGGTCGTATTGGGTTCTCGGAAGCCCCAAGGTTCAAGAGCGCCAGAATCCTTCCAATACACATGAGGATGATATTGTTCTGGCATCTTTCGGCCTTCTTGTGGGGCCTCTTGGAGGGTTCTTGGGCTCTCAATAGCGCGGGTCCCGGAGTTCTCGACCGCCACCCAGGGGCTGGCTTCCATCCCGCTGGGTTCGATTTCGCACCGTTCATTCCAGGTCCTCCTGGGCCGAAGACGCATAACAAAACGCCGTGTCCAGATTCATTTGGGGCATTCCAGAAATGTCCTCGCCTTCGCGGGAACGAACAGTGCGGCTCCGCCGGTGGAAGCTGGCAGGCGCAAAGTTCGGCTTTCCAAGAGTTGCCAACTTTTCTGGTCGGCCCTAAGCCTTTTTCCAGTGCGAGAAAACAGATCGGTGGTCTCGCGGGCCGGGCCCCTTGGGCCGCGACCTCGGGGATACGGGGGCGTTTTTTCGTGGATGCCCCGCGCGGAACGTATCTGGGCGACCGCGTATCCGCGGGATCGCGCTCCGGAATCCAGTCCGTGAGGGCGCGGATACGGAATGTTCGCCGCGTGACAGATCCACCGCCCTTTCTCTTCCCCCCCTCTCCGCAGCGGGGTCCCGCGCGGCGCCGCGGGCGCCCCCCCCTCCCATTTCGGATGTTGCTACGGCCCAGGTCCCTTCGCGTCGGCGGAAGGTCTTTGGCATGTTTCTGTCTCGGGGGGCCCTCACCGCGGCACGGGACGCCGAACACCATTCAGGCAGTTCTTGCTCCAGGATCCACCCAGAAGCGATCCACCATGGGGCATGAACGCGATCCCCAGAAGCCGAAGCGCCCAGAAATCGCTGACGCAGAAGAAAAAGAACGTCACGCACATCGGCGAAATGCGTGCACCTCTGCGGCCGCAGAGCTGAGCGCTGGACGCAGATGCGCTATGCCCCCCCGCGACGGAAAACGCTGGGATCAAACAAATCAGTTCCGAGGCTGGGGTTTATCCACCGCCTGGGGGGATCGATCTTCGGGGGCCTCGGCAGGCGGTGGATATGGATGTACTTGGCCCCCTTGGGGCCAACACATGTCCACATCCACCGCCCGCAGGGGTCCCAGGGCGCTGGTTCCACAGGCGGTGGATGTGGACATGTCCCCGCCTCGCAGCCTGGGCCCGGCAGCCTCCGGCCATATAGGTCTCGTCTCCCTCCGGCCGCTTCCCCCCCTGGACGCCACTCGCCAGCCACGGCGGCGGTGGGCGCGCGGAGGCCATGGAGGAGGCCGGCGCCCGCCCATCCCCTCTCCCCGCCGCCGCTCGAGCTGTCCCGAAACCCGACGTCGCGAAAAACTCCAGGCCTCCCAGAGGAGCGAGGCCAAAAAAGCTGGGCCGTCTGTGCCGACATTGGCGGGTAAGCTGCCCGCGTGAGGTCGCGCGTGAGCACCCTCGCTCCCATCGTGGCGTGCCGCGCCGTCGGCGCGCGGAAGCTGCGGCGCAAGGTCGCTATGTCGTCTCGCGTAAGGCCTGCATCGCGGACGCATCGGCCATCGGCGATGCCGCTCGAGGTGGCGCCCGATTTCTCCTGCGCCGATGCGTCGCCGATGCGCGCCGATGCGCCGCCGATCCGTCGCCGATGCCTCGGCGGTGCGGCGCGATCCTCCGGCTGGGTCTGCTCGGACCCCATGGTGGAGGCCTCCCGGAGGAGCGCGGCGTCGTGGCAGGCCAGGGGCCCGGCGCCTCGATGCCGCCCTCGGCGGCGTTTTTTTCCAGCCGGGCCGAGCCGCGAGGGCTCAGGGCCCTTAAGGCGAGACCGCACGAAGCACTACGTTCACGCAGGTTTTGCACCGGTGTCTGGGTTTCTGGGGGCCATGGTGATGGCCAGTTTGAGCCCTCTCGGGGTATCCCGAGTAATACTGGGGGCCACCTCGAGCTCTCTGGGGTTATCTTTTAGAGCCATACTGGCCCAAACGCGTCCCAAGGATGCCCTCGATACGTTCAAGTCCTTGAGCCAAACAATGTTGTTTTAATGTTTTCGGCTTTGAGCGAAGGTGGTGTCCTCAAGTACGGTTGTCCCTCTTGAGCCTTGAGCCCCCAAAATCGCCTTTGGGTGTTTTCTTGGAACGTTCTTGGAGCGCTCGTTGGCGGTTGTTGGGCCACATTGAGGCCACAAAGGGCCCCTCTTTTGGCTCTCTTGGGCCCTCGTAGAGCTTTTCTTGATACTTGTAAAGCCCATCGGTTGCGAGAAGGCGACAAGGTAAACCACAGGAATGTTTCTTAGGTCTTGGAAGAAATTGGGCTTCTTGGGGGTGTCCTTAGCAAACGCCATGAGCACTTGGACGCGTCTTGGAGCGGTCTCTGGGCTTATTGGAGCAGATTGGAAAACATGTTGAGCGATCTGCGCTATCTTAAGCCATCTTGGGTTCTTTTGGACCCTCTTGGAACCATCATTGGCGTCTTGTTTTGCTATTTATATGCTCGCGCGGCGCTTATCCAGACCCAGCGGGAGGGGGCTCGCAAGGGGAATGGTCAAGCTACCCCCGCTCGAAAAATGGTTGTCTCACTTAATCCCACCCGCCACCCCACCAGATGAATGTTACCCGCGTCTCAGCACAGGCAGGGGCCGCCATCGGCAACCATCGGCAACCAATCCAGACGCCAGCCAGGTGCGCGACGCAAACGAGGTTCGCCGCGCTTGCCATGGCACCTCCCGTCATCCCTGTTAGGTAACAGTGCGAAATTATCGCGGGGCGCCTGCGCATGGTCGAAGATTTTTTTGCAACGTGTACTTCGCAGTGGTGTTTGACAGGGGTGATGGGCCTCCACACGCGGGGAAATGATGCCCCCCCCGTCGTCCCTAACAAATTATCCCGGCAAAGCAACCTAACATCGATATGTAGAAGCATAGCTGGAGGCATGCAGCAGCAGTAACAGTCACAGTAGTAGTAGCAATAAGAGTAGGAGAGATGAAACAGTGGTAACAGTGAAGTAGTAGTTGTAGTTGGCGGGAGTGAACGAGTGAAGTGTAGTAGTAGTAGTGGGTGTAGTGGTAACAGCGAAGTGAAGTATAATTGGAGTGGGTGGATGGCAGTAGTAGTAACAGTGAAGTACGGCGGATGCGTTGGATAGTAGAATGGTAGTAGGGGAAGTTAGCCCCCGTAGTAACGGTATCAGTAGAAATAATAGTAGAATGTATGTCGAAACGAGACACTGCTATCAATGCACGGAGCTTGAATGGATGTATTTGCAAACGAGACACTGCTATCAACGCGCGGAGCTTGAATGGATATGTGGTCAAACAAGACACTGCGATCAACGCACGAAGCTTGAATGGATGTATGTCCAAACGAGACACTGCTATCAACGCACGGAGCTTGAATGGATGTATGTCCAGAAGAGACACTGCTATGAACGCAAGGAGCTTGAATGGATGTATGTCCAAACGAGACACTGCTATCAACGCACGGAGCTTGAATGGATGTATGTCCAGAGGAGACACTGCTATCAACGCACGTAGCTTGAATAGATGTGTTTTCAAACGAGACACTGCTATCAACGCACGGAGCTTCAATGGATGTAGGTGCGAACGAGACACTGCTATCAACGGATTGAGTCTCAAACGATTTATTGGTATAGATGGTTTTAGCACCAAAACAGGGGCTCGAAGCTCTTGTGTTTGCATCTCTCGTCACGCTCTTTCGAAGGCGCTGGTGTGTACCATCGTTTGCACAGCAGCACCAGTGCACATAGTATGCAGACGGAGGAGCCCCGTAACTCACTACGCACGGGTACAGCACTAGACGGAGGAGCACCGTATCTCACTACGCCCCGTATTTCACTACGCCCCGTAGAGCTAGGCTCGTGCAGGCCAGCCTAGCTCTTGTCGGGCTTTCGCGCACGCGATCTTCGTCGCGGCAATCTTGTCCGTGAAGAGCTCCGCGAAGGCCTTGGCGATCTGTTCCGGGGGGCCGGATTCGATGATGCTTCGGTCAGGCAAGCCGTGGCTCAAGAGCTGGCCGAAGCTCCTGGGCCGCGACAGGCTGACGTAGTAGGCCAGCCAAATGGACTCTTTCTTGAGTCCTGGCGGAAACGTCCAGTGCACGATGAAGCCTGGGTCCGCCGTCTTGCCCTGCACGCCGTGCAGAGTGCCCTGCTTCCTGGGCAGCACGGTCAACTGCGTCCTGGATACCGAGATGGCTGGGCCACCCGCCGCTGGTTTGAACTTCCAGGGGCGGGCCTGCGCGGCGATCGCGAGCACTCCGCGCAGGTCGGGGCCAGCAGGCTGAGAAGCACTGCCAGCTGTCACTGGCGCGGTCGTCAAGAAGAGTTCATCGCTGTTGTCCATCTTGACATAGACGGCCTTTGGCATGTAGCGGAGTAGTACAATACCATCCGAGTCAATGGACGGACGGCCTTCCACTGGAGGCTCCAGAGCGTGCCTCTCTATGCCTACCACCTTGCCCGGCGCGCCACGGACATACTGAGGTGGCAAGACGGACTCCGTCAGGATGACCTCCATGCCGATGAAGAGCGGCAGCAGTCCCGGTATTTTTGCGGTAGCGCCGATGTTGGGCATCGCGCGCATCTCGTCGAAGTCAGGCTTCGCAAGGCGCGCAGCTGGTCTGTCGATTGCCGGCACGTAGAAGAGCAGCTGGCTAGCATCGTGCGCATCAAGCTTGGCCTGCGCACGCATGGCGTAAGAGACGATGCGCCACTCATATGCCGACTCGTACCAGCCTCGTGCTGCACGCAACCGATGATCCCACTGAGGTTGCTGAGGGGCTTCGCTGCTGGTGGCAGCAGGCTGAACAGCACCGCTGGGGTTAAGGACCTTTGTTTTGCCGATCGCCTGCCAGCTCTCGTCAGAGATCTTTTTGCCGCCTGGAGTCCTCATGGCGTGGAGGACCTCGAGCTGCAACGGGTCTGTAAAGCGCTGCGTTTGTAAGAAGTCGATGACGTACTCGAAGTCGGCGAGCAATTTCCTACCTTGTTGGTGCTCGTAGGACTGGCCCGCGGGAGGCGCCAGCAGAGAGGCGGTGGCGGGGACCGGCGGCAACTGGTAGAAGTCCCCGCACAGGATCTTCACCGCCATGCGCCCCCACGTGGGAGGCACGTCCTGAACCAAAGACGGCTGTTCAGACAATGTAGACCGCGGAGGAACGGCCGGTTCCGTCGGAAAGATTGCAATGCGTGAGGCACGTCCTGAACCAAAGACGGCTGTCAAGAATGTGGCCCGGGAGTGGAGTTCTGGGTGGCGTACAGTTGGCTCCGGGCATTCAGAATGTGGCCCGGGAATGGAGTTCTGGGAGGTCGAAGAGCACGAAGTGTGTGGCTGTTTGCGAAAAACGAGGTTCCGCGGATCCCCCCGGAAATCCCCAACGGCTCCCCAACGGCTGCCCAGACCCCCCTGTGGAGTAATGTGCTGCTCTCTTTTAGCCCATTAGAAACCTATCAGTCTTCGATGTTAGGTAAAAATTGCAAGCAACTGTGTAAAGTGATCGCGGGGCGCCCGAGCATGATCCAGATTTTTCGGCAAAGTGCATCGGGGTGGGGTGTCGGCAGTGCCCCTGGTTTAGCGGGGGAGTGAGTGATTGACAAGGAGCAGGGGCACACCCCTCCCTGAACGGGAAGAAGAGGACAGGGCGAAACAGCGCGATAACCCACCTACGCCTTAAAAGGGCTGGTTGGGTTACCCTGCTTTGGCGAGAGGGAGGCGGAGGAGGACTGGTGTGTCGTGCAAGCCTGACCCACCCCCACGTTCAGCTGCTGCTGAGGCTCGCCCGGTCCGCCCCGCCATCTTCCTCCCCCTCGCACTCAGCCCGTCGTCATCCCCACTCCTCTGAACTCCCACCTCCCTCGTCGTTTCCTTCCCTCCTCCCGCTCCTTCCCTCCGCCTCCTGTTATTTCTCGTCGTCCTCCTCCTCCTCCTCCTCCTCCTCCTCCTCTTCCTCCTCCTCCTCCTCCTCCTCCTCCTCCTCCTCCTCCTCCTCCTCCTCCTCCTCCTCCTCCTCCTCCTCCTCCCCCCTCTTCTTTCTCCTCCTCCTCTTCCTCCTTCGCCTCCTCATCCTACTCCTACTCCTATCCTGATTCATTCCTTATCCGAATATACTCTTACTCCCCCCTCTCCCTGGCCGGTTGCCACCCCATGCGGGACGTCCCGTCCAAACCTGCAGAACACATCACAAAACCAACACGTTTCGTCATTTGTCCTCTCAGCATGGACGTCTTGTCGTCCACGCCGATAATCCCTTGCACAAGAAACACAGTGCACACACGCGCGTCCAT